GCCAGTTCTTGTCAGGCCCATCCACAGGGCATCCCGTCCACCACCCCAGCAGTGCCGAGGGGCAGGGACCACTGTCCTGCTCACTTTACTGGGGAGAAGCCCAAGGTGAAGCCTGCCCAGATCACGTGCTGGGAGCAGCTGAGCCTGGATATAATCTGGAGGTATCTGACCTTGAAGTCACTTGTTGACCCTGTGGTCTTGCACAGCTGACATCCTCTCTGAGCCCAGCCTCCTGATCTGTCACCTTGGCTGGACAGAGACAAGGCAAGGGAGGCTGGCTCCATCCCCAGTGAGGCCCAGTCCCCAGGAAGTCTCCTGCTCTCACTGTCACCCATGTGAACGTTGGTCCTCACCTCTCTTGCACAGGCCGGACATGGAGGCCAAGAAGCTGGGAATGCTGTAGCCTTGTACTTTAGGATGACCTGTGCACTGGGGGGAATGAGCGAGAAAAGTGTCCCTGGGTCCACACCACACATCTATTGTTTCCATCAGCATGGTCATACCTCAGAGCCACTCAGCAGACAGCACACCTGAGAAACCTGGTAACATCAAGACATGGACAGCTTTCCACAAGGATAACAGGACCCTGACTTCTGGTTTCATTGCCTCCTCAGCACTTACTGATCTCAGACACGTTTGACCTCTGTCTCTTCTGATCTGTGTCCCCCAGTACAGCACCAGCTCCATGAGAGCAGGGACTCTGTCATCCACTGCTGGGCCCCAGGTGGCAGGTGTTCAGTAACATCTGGCCTGGAAGTGATGTCACTACTGAGCTTCAGTTTTGTCATCTACACATGGAGAGGATGATGTCCTGCAGCTGTCCTGGGGACACAGTGAGATGCTGGCCACCTGCTCCCCAGTGCAGGGTGATACAGGCAGGGGTGATTGGCACCCTTCTTCTCTGCTCCCAGGGCCTCATCTAAGGAATGAGTTTTAGGGATATGGTGCTGGGAGCATACTTTCTTTTCCTGTGTGGTGCAAAATCTTCCGCAGTCAGGCTTTATTTTATTAGAGGAAGGAGATGACAAACAGCTCAAGCAGCCACCAAGGAAATTACCAAAGGGGCAAGGAAGAAGTGAGCTCCAGAGGCCACCTTGCTGCTTTTATCCTTCAGCAAGGGAGGGAACAGCAGCAACTATGTGTGAGACACTTGCAGATGCCTGGGGCTACACTGTTTTACCTACATTGTTCTGTTCACACCTGTAGGACAGGTGCCATCCAGTGTGGAAATAAAGGGCCGAAGGTGCAGGAAACTTGCTTAAGAGTGTGGCTGAGCTGAGGCCAAATTGGGTCTGTCTGACTCTGAAGCCTGTGGGTCTCTGGGTCCTTAAATTACAGAAACCTCCACTCCCATCACTGTTCACCAACCTCCTCCGATGAGTCAAGCGCTGTGTGAAGTTGGTATAGACAGAAAGTTTACCTGGGAAGAAACCGGCTGGGGTTGAATTTGCAGGAGCTGCTTCCCTCTCTGCCTTAAAATACCTGCTTCTTCTCTCAGAGGGCACTTTGTGATGAGCAAGGACAATTTGAGGAATGTAATAAGAGGATCCTGGTGCCCTGTGGCTCCCTCTGCCCCGCAAGTGGCCATGGTGTCCATAAGGGTGAGCAGAGGTCTCGTGGTCCAGCTCCTGGGCAGTGCACTGGGTGGCCCTGAGCCTGCATGTGCTGTGGGGAAGCAGAGGGTGTGGAGTCCCCAGTGGAACAGCCCTGATGGCCAGAACCCATGTGGGGACTGTGCCTGATGCCATTGGCTGAGGTGCGGAGACAGGTAGTCCCGGAGTCACTGCCGGGATCTACAGGTGACATATTCCAAAGTAACTTGAGGTCACATGATTCTTTGGGTCCAGCAGGTCCCTAAACCCTTAGACAAAGACACTGCCCAGTTCTGCCACATAGAGCTGCCTGCTGTGCTCCTCTGTGCTCTCCTTGCTGAAGGAGGGACACTCTGCCCCGCTCCAAAGTGCTCAGGTCTTGAACAATTGGCGCTGCCCCTCTTAGACTGTTCTCTCTCCCTCGGCCTGGACTAATTCCAGCAGGGCTGACTGGGGGAGGGGCTGCCACACTGGAGGAAGTGGGCACCAGGCAGAGAGGCAAACACAGACAGGGGCAGTGGACTGTCCACTTCCCATAGAGGGCTCTGAGCTATGTGTGGTTTCAGCACCTTGGAGAAAAGACAGTTGAACTAATTGGATTATCTAGACTTCTGACATGACAGATAGAGAGTGAAAGAGCCTTCTCCCCATAAGACAGACAGTCAGGAGGGGGACACAGGCAAGCAATAGTGGACCGTTCACCCTCTCCAGGATGGATGGATGGATGGAACTAAGGGTGGCTTCCAAGGCTGCAGAGCAACACAGCAGTTGAATAAACTGGGTAAAATAGACTTCCGGCAGCAGAAAGGAAGCCCGGTTCACAGATGCAGAACAAGCCAGGTTGGACTCCTCCACTCATGGTGCCGGCTTAGTGATGCTCTGGTTAGGTCCACACTGCATCACCTCGGGAGGTTGCTCTGGGAACAAGGGGCTGATTCTCCAGAACGTGGCCCGGTAGACAGGCTTAGTTCTGCGTTGGAGTTTTCTGCTCTGAGAGTTATGCCCCCTTGTGCCCAGATGGAAGGAGCTCACCTCTTTCCATGTATGTATTTGTACAGTTATAGCACTTGTCTATTTGCTTTTTATGATTTTATAACCATCCATCCAATCCCCTTTCTCATTTATTTGTTGTTTCTTTCATTCATTTCTCCACATACTTGCTCTTGTACTAATTCAGTCCTTAATCCATTCATCCCTAGTTCTAGTGTTTGTCCATTCATTCATCCATTGTCTATTTGTGTGCCCAGCTCCTCACTCAGTCATCAAGGATTCATCCTTCATCCCTAGCTTCACTGGCTCATTCATTTCCTCACCACCCCACTCACGCACTTACCCATTACACCTTGCTTCATTAAGTTATTCAACAGTTTATGCATCTTCTAATTAATTGATTCACCCATCAGCTGACAAAACCAACTCTTGGTCAACGCGCTCTGAGGATTGGTGCTTATCCAGTGTGATCTTGCAGCTTTTAGCCTCCTGGCATATTTGGGCCATCTCCACAGCAAGGGCCACCTTCTTGAATAAACACATTATCTGTGAAGTGTGCATAGAGGATAACGCATACATCCCAGGTGAACAAGACTTTCAATCACTGACCAGATGTGGGATGAGCCGAGGTCAAGTAAGAGAAGGGCACCCTCGCTTCAGACCCACCCTGTGCCATCTGTTTCTCAACTCTGGTGGTCATGTGGGTCTCCTGATGGCACGTCCTGGGAATCCAGGCCTGTCTCTCATTTGGGAGATGAAGGAGGCTCCAGAGGGCATGGAAAGGGGAACAGAGAGGGGAGCTGCCAATGAAGGCTATGTTAGGAGTTCGGTTCCCACTATGGGTCCCTGGGGGTAATCAGGAGCCAGAGCCAGGGACATGCTTCACAGTTGCCTCACAGGGAGGTCAAGGAGTGGGGGTATTTACACACCATTGCCCATGGCCATTGGCTGAAGCTTTTCCTAGGACAGGGGTATTCATCCCTGAGCAGCTAGGTCCTGCCGCATCCGGCATCCAAGTGGGATCTGGTGACCAGAGAAAGTCCCCATGTAAACCAATGTTGGGACTGGCGGATGGAAGTCGGCCCTGGAAGAAAATGGTCAAGACTTTAAACAGCTGGGCGCTCACTAGGCAGAGCTTCCCAGCCTCCTCTCATCCCGTGCCCATCCTCCACTGGCTTCACTTGGATTTTCTGTATCGTGTGGTCCTGCAGGACTCTTGTATTAAACAAAGGTTGGCTCCATGTCTTTGTTTTACACGTTGGGGAAATTAAGATACAGGCAGAGGACGCATCTGGTTCAAGATCACTCAACCCTCACTCAGGAGTCCCCCCACCCTCATCTGCAGCTCCCCCTCTTTGCTCACTGATGTGATGTCTGACTTTGCCTGGGAATTTTCTACCAGATACTTTCATGGAGAACAAAGCCAACAAGCAGGAAGCTGCTGCCTTTGAATAGCTGGAAGCTAATGTGCCCCGGGGCCATCTTTTCATTTTAGAGCTTCCCCTTCCACGCTGCACCCCCAACACACACACACTCACACACACACTCTCTCTCTCTCTCACACACACACACAAGCTGCATTTGCTGAAACAAAGTGCCTGTCAGATTCACTCCCAAAGACACATGTGTGATCTTTGCCCATGTGAACAGAGCATGCTACTGAAGTGACTACATCCCGTTGGAATCCCATAGCGTGAGGGTATCACAGGTTGATCTGAAAGAATTCAAGTCACCACATATGTACCTTGACTCCTAAACTTCTTTTAAATCGAGAAAGAAGACATTCTCTTTAAAGGTTACCTTTCCTTCAAGCTATTCCGGGTTTGTGAGCACATGTTGAGCAAGTGAAAGGTCAATGTTTTATCTCTGTTTAATCCTGCCTGCCCTCATTCTGCACTGTGGCAAAGACCTTACCTCCTGCACCAAGGACTCTCCCTGTACCAGGGACCCCACCCTGGCACTAGGGACTCCGCTTGTACCTTGGACCTCTCCCTATACATGTCAACAATTTTTTTTTGCAACCAGAGTTTGTCTTTTTCATCCCTTTGAAGAGACTGGATTGAGCTACTAGGCCATGAGATACGGGGCCAGGATGCTCTTGAGAAAGTGTCAGCATCACCCAAGTACTACAGATAAGCTACCATCTCCTAAGGGCCTACTGTGCTTCAGGTGCTGTGCTGAGTCCTTGGAACAGTGTCCATGCTCTACAACTCAAAGCTCAACCTGCGAAGTGGCGGTTTCCCTGGGTTCCTTCATCACCTCATCACGTCCTGCCTGGATTATTGCCCAAGCTGCCCTCCTGGATCCTTGACCTCACAACTCGGTGTGTCTGTGATCCTCCTATATTAGTCACTTTCCTGTCACTAAGACAAAATATCTCACACTCCCAATTTAAGGAAAAAAAGTTTATTTTGGCTCATAATTTCCAAGAGTTAGTCCATGTGGGTTAACCCCAAGGCAAAAACAGCCTAGCGGAAAGGCATGGCAGAAGACAGCTGCTCCGCTCATGCAGCCAGGAAGCAGAGAGAGAGGAAGGAGCTAGGGACAAAATACAACCTTCCCAGCCATGCCCCCAGTGACCAGAGCGCACCTCCTAACAGCACATTCAGCTATGAAGTCACCAGGTTCATAGCTGGTTGGTGGCTCATCTGCTGTGGCTCTAACTGCCCATGGGGAGATGTAGGAGGACCCATTGGTCACGTCATCAAAGGGAGTTGGCACATGAGTCATCCTAAGCCCATGGGCCAGGGGTCACTCCCTGATCGCTGGCTCCCCCACCAGATGTGTCTGGGACATCGGACATCCTGTCTCTCTTGACATCATGTGATTCTGTGAATAATAATGAGTCACATTATTTAAGAGTCTGTTTTGCTCCTTCAGATAGTACTTGTGAATGTCCACTAGGTGCTGCACTGTGACCCCACAGAGCTGTTCAATGACAGAATGGGGCCACGGATTCCCCATCCTGCCACTGTGGTCACTACCTCTGCTGCCACGCAAGAACTTCCCTTTGCTGCTCTGGTTTCTCCTGCTGCTTGGCTCCAGGACCTTTTTCTCCCCAGCATCCTCAGCCCTTGTCTTTTCCTGTCCACAGGGCTGGGAGGTGGGATATAACACAGACAGGTAAGTGGAGGATACATCCCAGAGTTGAGTGAGAATCTTGGTTATTTCCTGAGAAACAAGCAGTTTAACACAAATTAGCTTAAGCACAGTCCGTATCTAAAGAGGAAAAAGAAGCTGGTTAGGTTCATTCTCTTAGTCAGCTTGTTCAAGTCTAGCATTAATCTATTCATCAGCTCAGCCCATTGGCAGCAAACATGCTTCTTCAGGAGTTTTCTAACTGAAAATAAATGCCTCATTAAGTCAAATGTATTAACCTGAGAGCAGTATCGATGTCAGGCAGACTAATGAACGTGGTTATAGGGAACGCACAGTAGCCCTCAGAGGGGCAGGCTGCCATCAGGAGCCCTGCAAATGGCTCAGCTACTGTGGGATGGGCATGGAGTCAGGGAGGGAAGGAGAGGGGCGGGAGACAGAAAAGGAGCCGTGGCCCACGCAGGGGTCATGGTCAATGTTATGGTTTATGTCTGTGTGTCCCCTCCAAAGCCTCATGCGACCACGGGGCAGGCTTTTAGAGTTTGATTATTATGGGTATGAGAGCTACACCCGCCCTGGGGTGGATAGTTTGCATATGTAAGGGAGAGGAAAAGGGTGCTTGATGACATTCCTCCCCATTCCGCCCTGGTGTGTGCTTGCGGCTTAGCTGTGTTCTGCCGCCCTGAGCGTTAGCTCTCCGCCATGTGCCACTCTGCCTTGTAATCTGCCAAGTAGGGGCTGAAACCGCCACAAACTGTAAGCGAAATAAATCTTTCCTTCCTTAAATTTGGGCGTCAGATATTTTGTCCCAGCAGTGAGGAAAAAAGTAACCAAGACAGTCAACCTTCCGAGATGCGCCTTGATCACTGCCAGTGGCTTTGAATGTTTGTAAAAGATATGTGGCCAAGGGGGGACATGGGGGTGACATACTCACTGCTGGGGAGATGGGTTTAGCTTTTCCTGTGGTTTCACTGTGTCCCTCAGAAGTTCAAGTACTGGAAACCTAATTCCCAAATTTATCTGTGAGTGGTATTTGGGGACGGGATCTTTGGAAGTCATTAGATGAGGGCACAAGGGTGAGGCACCCACAGTTGATCTGCCTCTTGGCATGCTGCCCTCTGCTGTGGTTTGACGTAGCACAAGTCCCTCACCAGATGCTGAGCAGATGCCAGGGCTTCTTAGCCTATAGCACTCTGAGCCAAGTTAACCTTCGCTCTTTATAAATTACCTTTTCTCAGATGTTTTGCTATAGCAGCAAAAAACGGACAAAAACAGGCTCTGAAGCAGGGTTTTGGGGGAGGGCAGGAGGGTAGAAGTTGGATATCAGAATTGGGTTTGGGTCTGGGCCTCGCCACATCCTGGTGGATGAGGCTCAGTTCCAGCCTTCCTTCCTGTGCGGGCACCTTTACAAGCACTAGACTCATCGGCTTTCACAGAAGCTCAGGCTGACAGGTGCTTGGGGCCCAGGCTTACAGATGAGGAACTGGAAGCTCAGGGAAGGTAAATGACCCGCCCGAAGCCTCCCAGCCTATGGGGAGAGTGGAGACAGAGCAGGTTACTGATGTAGGTGGGGGCCTCAGCCCCACTATCTCTGCTCCCTGGGGCTCTGTCTTCAGTGCCTTCCCAAGGCTCATTCTCCAGCTGCCCGAGATTTCCACTAGCACCACAGGACGTGCTCTCCCTACCAAATGGGAACCACGCAGGGTGAGGCAGGTCACGGCTGAGGCACCTGTAGACCTTGATTAGTACAGCTGCAGCCCAGGCCTGCCAGGAGCCCTGGCTGCTGGATCTCAGTTTCTTCCCCAACACCTTTGTACCTCTCAGGCCTGTGACGATCAAATGAGCCAATGACGTCGTCCTGCAGCAGGTGCTCAGGAAGCCCTGGGCCCTCTGCTCTGAGCCGATTCCTGTTCCATCCAGCTGGACTTGGCAGGCAGATCACAGAGGGGCAGTGCTGCTCTTCCTGATATCCGTAGGCCATGCACATCCCCTGGGGCCTCACCACTGCCTGGCTTCAATGCAGACCTGACTATCACCTCTCCCATATTCTTGAGTTCATACCCAAGCTGTGCCGATAACCTGAGGGCACTGGGAAGTGTCCATGCCCAAAGGCCAGTACAGAGATACAAGGAAGGGTCTGGAGACCGAGATGGATCCACTGGGAGTGGCACAGAGAAACTCTGGGGGTAAGAGGTGTCAGCTTGCCCTGGGACAAAAGAGGAGAGAGTGCTATAAAACAGGCCAGGTCAGCTAGGAGCCTGGTCTAAGACTGAGGTATGGGGAGGGAGAATAGACATTCATATTTACTGTCTCTGAAAACCCCAGGCCAAAAAAAAAAAAAAAAAACAAAAAAAAAAATCTACGAGGGGCTGGGGATTTAGCCCAGTGGCACAGCACCTGCCTGGCAAGCGCAAAGTCGTGAGTTCGGTTCCCGATACCAGAAAAAAAAGAAAAAAGAAAACCCCAGTCCACCCTGTGTCTTCCTTACATCAGTCCACAAGAGAACGCACATGTTCTAGGCATGCATGTGAGCCCCCATATTGAAGATCTTGTTCTATCTAAAAATAAAACAATTCCTAGGAGGTGGTTATTATGAGCCTCACATGTCAGGTAAACAAACCAAGGCTCAGAGCTGCTGAGTGATTTGCCAGGATTCACCCCTAGGTCTCTCTGACCCAAGGCCCTGATTCCTCACTGGCTGAGGTGCTTCTCCTGTTGGCAGCCCTGCTGCGCAGCGTTCCTTTGCCCTGCAAACTGCGGGCATCTAGAACCACGTGGTGCTGTTCACTCTCCCTGCCTGCCTCTGCTCTTAGGCAGGATGTCTATTGGGTGGGACGCATGAGGATCCATGTGTGTTTGCTGGCTTTACCTGCAGAGGGGCAGGCCTTGCCTGTTATGTTGGTACAAGCCTCAGGAGCCTGGCATAGCCCTGTGGTGACTCCTGACTCAGAGCTGGTATTCCTATCTCTCAAGATGAGCCTAGATGTGCATTTCTGAGCTCTGAGCACTCTGGGTATGCACTGAGGTTGGGACTGAAGAGCAGGCTGGTGCACTTCAGGTGTCAAATAGTTCAGCGTTGTATTTAATTCTATAGCAATGAGTTCTGCAATTATGTGCTGAGCACTGTTCTCTTTGATACATTCTTCCTTGGCGAAGTGCCCCAGTTTTGTCTGTCAAAGTGAAAAGAGACAAGAAACTCAGGCTTCGTCAGAGGAGCACACTTGGCCAAGGGTGTGTGATGATGACTGTATGGGGCAGGGCAGCCTGGAGAAGGACACTCCTATGAGCCAAGAGAGTTAAGAGCTGTCTTCAAATACAGCAAGGGCTGCTACAGGGATGAGGAAGTGACTATCTCAGTGTGGCCTGAAGGAAGGCCTTTCTAACAGTTAGAGCTGCCTGGAGATGGAAGTACACTACCTCCATAGGTGCTGAGTTCCTCATCTTTGGAGCTGTGAGCAGGAGTGAGATGACTATTACTGGGAGGCATAATATGAGGACAGCCTACATTTGAATCACACAGACCTATTGTGCTTCAGGACAACTTATTTTATCTCTCTGATTGTCAGTTTCCTTTTCTATAAAGTGGGCATGATAATACTCTTTATCTTATTATCATTTCACTGAGTTATGACATGTAAATGAGGGAATATGCATGTCTTAGCTTGTTCCTGCTGCTGTAACAAAATGGCCCAGACTGGGAAAGTTATAAAGAGCATAGACCCATTGCTCACAGTTCTGGAGGCCTGGAAGTCCACAATCAAGGCGCCAGGAGATTTGGAGTCTGGCGAAGGTCTGGTCTCTGATGTTGTCCTGTTGCTGTGTCCTCCAGAGAAGAAAAATGCTGTGTCCCACTAAGGTGGTGCTCCTGTCTGTCTCCTTTCAAGTCATCAATCTGGAGTACTCATGACTGGATCACTGCCCACCAGGCCCTGTTTCTTAACACCATCTCATTGGGTCATTGCCTCCAGCCATGAATGTGGAGGCATGGAAGAGCCAGGAGTCAATCCACTGCCAGCAGCAGGGGTTGACAGTAAAGCCTCCGGTCAGGACTTTACTTGTAGTGGAGGATTCTGGAGTCACATGAGGCAAAGATAATACAATACTGAGACCCTTGAAACTCCTGGGTACATTTTACTTCCATGGTCAGTTTTCAGGTACTTAGTCCAAGGCGTCTTGGGCAGAGACCCCTCCTTTAGTCATGGGCTAGTTTTTGTTAATACATTTAATTTCCATAGACTCTCTGTGTTTTTTTTTTTTTAAATTGACTCTTCTGTGGAAAATATGCTTTGGAAGCTTGAAATAACCATCAGAGAACCTTAACTAAATTACATTTTAATCAAGCGGAAAGAAACACCGTGCTTGAAACAAGGAAAACCAGGGCAGCAGTGCATCACCAGGGACAGATAGGAGGGTGAGGGAGGTGGCTGCCTTGCTGAACCCTCTCTCAGGGGCTGCTGCGCTGGCTTGGCCTGTGAGATCTGGCATTCCTGTTCCTGTCCCCATTTCAGCTCTGTTCTTCTCTGGGATAAGAGGTGTCTCCTGCCACCCAAGGGGTGATGGCTTTGCCCGGAGAAGGGAGATGAGGAGGGTCCCGCTCTTTCCTTGACCTCTTCCATCCTCTGTCTCCCAAGCCTGGGCCTCCCTTGAAGGCTAGCACCAGCACACTGTGTAAAGCGAGGCAGGGACGCCTTCCCCAGAGCAGGTGGCTATGTGGCAATGTCTCCTCAGAGACAGAGATGGGAGAAGTGAAGTCCCCCATTCCCACAAAGGGTTCCAGGGTAGGCTGTGTTTGCCCAGACATTGGTCAGCCAGTGCTTGGCAGGGCCTGGCCACAGACGTGGGCTGGAGATTCAGGAGGGTACAAAGGACATGGATGGGGCACCCATGATATCTGCTGCAATTGCTAAGAACGTCCTTGGGCATGGAGCACTTGGGTGTCAGAATGAGCAACTTCACCTTCTCAGGACTCAGTGCAGCCCTGCTAGAGACACAGGTGTCCTCAGACTGCCTTAACCTGGCTGGTCAGGAAGTAGAGTGGGTTCAGCTGGGCCTCTGTGTGTGTCCAGCCACTGCACCCGGATTGCCTCTGGACTTTCCTGGGCTGCCATTGTTGGTGGCTGACTTAGTTACTTTTCTTGTCGCTGGGACAAAATAGTTGACATCCAAAATTGAGGAGCAAAGGTTTATTTGGCTTATAGGTCATAGAGGTTTTGGTCCATAGTTGCTGGCTCCAAGGCAGGGTGGCAAAGCAGAGGGGAACCACGGAGGAGAAACAGTTCAGGGCAAGCAGGCAGGTGAGAGCATATTAACCCTCTTTCTGTCCCTTATATTCTATGCAGGCTACTCCCCCTACGTCAAACGTAGCACTCATACCCATAATCCCAGCCCGAACGATGCCAAACCAATCAGTAGACTGATTTAGTAATCACACACTCTAGATCCAGCCACCTCTGAAAAAGTCCCCTATGACGGAAGGAGGCCCTTGGGAGACATCTAGACACAAGCCCTAACAGTGGAGGGGGCTTCACACCCTTTGACAAGACAGCCCAGCCCAGGCAGAAGTGCTGGGGGGTGGGAGTGGCCTGGTTGTTCTTGTATTTCCGGGGAAATGTTGAGGAGCTTCAGGTTTTAAAGCAGTGGGAGACACCTGCTCCTGAGGTTTAATAAGTAGGGCCAGAATCCAAATACCAGGCCACAGAGGGACTAAGTAACACAGACATGTTACTGTGTCACCCCCCAGGTCAGCTACAACAGGATGGGGGTGCTGTCATAAATGAGAGGGACAGGTTTGCTTAACTGTGCTGGGAAAGGTAGAGGCTCTGGGGAAAATGGGTAGCCACTCTCATAGCCCAGGGTCAACTCGCGGTCGCAGAGCAGGCTGGACCCTGGCGAAGCTACTGGATCCAGGGGCAGACAGCAGGCCTTGCCCAGGGTCCGGATCTGCCACCGAGACCTGGCGTTTCACCTCAACTCGGCCTCTTCCTACCTGTAAGTCTCGGGAGACAGCTTGACCTCTTTGAGACTGAAGTTTTCTCCTGCACACAGTGGATCTGGTCATCTCCCAGGCCAAGGTGATTTTCTGCTCATGAAGACAGAGGTGCAGAAGCTCAGATCTTCCTGGCACAGGCTCACCTGTCATCTCAGAGGGAGCAGGGAACACTCAGGTCCAACATTCTGAGCTCGCGGAGGCTCCAAGCCCAGACTCGCCCTGTGTCAGCTATGGGGTGCAGGCCTGCGGTACGGCCCCCGCTTCCCCTGTACCCTGCAAAGGGAAAGGACCTTAGCTGGAGGACTGGGGAGAAAGTGCATCCTGGGCTGGGGATCTCTGAGGGGACCCAGGCCACCCCTGCCATCACAGGAGAGGAAACCGACACTGTCCCATCCTCAGGTCATCCCCAGCCCCAAGGGTGACTAAGGAGCCAAGCAGGTTGGTTCCTCCATTCCATGTACCCCCATGGCTCACCCCTTCCTGGCACCCTGCAAGGAAGACATCTTCTAGCTCCAGAAAACTGACTGAGGGTAAAGAGAGCCCTGCAGGGATGCTCCCCGTATCCAATTAGGAGCATATAACTCACTTCCAGTTTCCCTGAAAGTACTTTCTTTCACTCCAATTAGGTGACTTTTCCAGTAGGTCTCACCTGTCTGGAGTCACCTGAATCAGAGCAGCCAGTGCACACCTGGAAGGAACCCTGCCAGAATCTTTGGGCTGAGCCCAAGGTCCCAAGACCCCAGGGCACCAGGGTCTTTGTCAGCAGCTTGGGGGGAGGGGTGGGGGTGGGCCAGGACAGGCAGGACCCATAGGGTCACAGCTTGATACCATAGAGGGTACAGCAGCAGGATGTGGTGCTTCCCACGATCGTCCTTCTGCATGCTGGAGCTGTGGCCTGCTTCAAAGTGATTGGACTTAGCTCCCTAGAAACCAGGATTCAGAGAAAGTAAGTATTGCTTACAAAGGAGGAAAGTGAGGTCCCAAGAGGTCTGGTTAGGTGACTCAGGCCTCCCATCTAGTGGGTGGCAGGGTTGTAGGTCATGATAAGGGCCTGTGTTCTGACTTGCTCACCTCCCACTGGGAGGCCTTGCATATTATTTGCACCCCAGGGGCCAGAAAATGTGGGGTTTGCTTGTGACCTTGCCAGAGGCTAATGACACTCTTGCAGGCCTTCTGTGCACCAGGGAGGATGAGAACTCCCATATCAAGAGCAGGGCTTTGTGCTTACCTGAGGACAGGGCCTCTCTTTGAATGTGGTCATTAAAGCCAGCACATTAGAGAGGTAACAGCCCAGCCTGGGGTTCTGGACGGGGAAAGGGAGGTAGTGCAGACCTAGGAGGAGGCTGGGCCACCAGGTGGAGAGATTGAGAATGGCGGCTCTCCTCCCCGCCAGGCTTACGTTTCCTCAGGACCCAGTCTCACCTCTGCAGTTTCCCTGAGGAGCAGGGAGGACTCTACCTCTTCATGCTGGGAGGTGGGGAAGTGGAGTGCGGTGGTCAGGGCTGGGCTGGAGGAGCCACAGTTTGTGATTTACATCCAAGCTGAGTTTGGGTAAATTCTTTGACTTGGGCCCAGCATTCTCACCACTGAGATCTTCATCCAATGCTTTTAGCCTCCATAAATCATTTTTAATAACATACCACCTTGTAATGACTGGGAAGTCTCCAGGGGAATAAGACGCACCTCAGACATAATGAACTAATTACTGTGAGGTAAGTCTCTTGCAGCCCAGAAGTAGGGCTGGATTTTGTGGGGACTCGCTGCTGCTACTGGGCACCAACCCTGGGCTCTGTGACCAGCTCTGACATTTACTCAGAGGGGTCAATGGGGTGAACAAGACTAGGAGGGATTAGGAGAGGGGCCTGCAGCTGGAGTTGTACCTAGATGTCACAGACACCACATCTGTGGGCGGAGACGGGAATGGGGGATGGGCGTGTCCCCTCGTGACAGGCATGTGCTAGATTAGCTGTTGCCCATAGATCTGAGTCTGGAGACGGACACTGCATTGAGCTGGAATGGGGCCATGTTGGGGCACCCTGGCTTTCAGCCTCTAGCTGTTCTCGCTGATGATCTGAAGGTCCCTTGGGTCCGCTGGGCAGCCAGAAGTGGGTACATATGGAGGCGGGCCAGCTCTGGAAAGACAGGATGTGAACAAGGTCCCACCAAAGTGCGCAGACAGGATTTTGGGGAGGTCCCAGGCACAGGGGAAGAGAAACTGATCCCGATGTTTGCAGACTCTGGTGACAAGTGACATAGTGGGATAGACCAGGCCATGGGCCCAGGCAAGTGTGCTCTCCACCCTTACAGTGCCTGGTGGGACGTGACAAGGGGAGGTCCTGACAGTCCTCCAAGGGGCTCAGGGCCACAGGTCTGGGATGGGAAGGAGAGTCCCTGGTGCAGCTCTGGGCTCAGAAAGGCCTAGGCTGCAAGCTCAGGCCAGGCAGGAATTACGTGTATGCTCTGGTGTCCCCATGTGTCCTGCTGCAGGATACGCTGAAGGCCGCCTGCTGCAGGTGCCCTGTGCCTCTCCAGCCAGCACAGGGCAGGCTGGGCACCTGGCAGTGATTGGTGCCCAGGGCCAGCCTCAGCAGTACGGACTGGCAGTGGAGGTAAACATTGCTCCCTTACCCCTAAGCGGGACCTCTGAGGTGCATTCTCATCACCCATACAGGCTGCTGCACATAGGAGGACATCTTTTACCCACTCTCTTCCCTTCCCTACCTCTGCTGCCTCAAGACTAGGCGAGTCACTCACCCTCCTGGACTTGGTCTGCACAGCTGGGGAATGAGAGGCTTTAACCCTGGGGACCTTTAAGACTCCTCTAAGCTCAGGTTTCCACTGTGATTCCCTGTGATGTTTTCTGCACTGCAAACCTGGCCAGCTGCTCAACTGCCCAAATCAGCCTTCTGCCAGAAGGAGGCAAGGCAACCCCCAAAGGGGCACAGGACCCTGAAAGAGCTCCCCACAGATAGAACAATTCAAACAGCAAAATAAGTAATGCAGTACTGAACTATAACCAAAAGTGTAAAATAATGACACACACATATGCTACATAGATAGTTGAAAAATACATAAATGGAGGAAAGAGATGACTCTTCCTTACAGAAGACTTGCAAATAATTTGTACCCTCTATCCAGGAGGTGGAAGCGAACTCTTAGTCTGGCCTCACAGGATGGGTCACCCTTAGAGATTTTCTTGGCAGAAAACAGAGGACAGGAAGGGTCGGGGAGGCAGGGAGAAAATTTATAGTGGAGGAACTTGGCAGAAATTTACCCAGGGTGAAGATTAATACTGCCAGTGACAAGTCATGTGTCTCCTGGTAGGAAGTGATGAAGCAGGCCTTTCACCTCTGTGGGACTCTGCCCCAAACCGTAACCCCAGTCTAATCATGGAGAAATCATCAGGCAAGTCCGTGTGGGGGAGACTTCTGCACAATATACCTGGCCAGCACTCCACAGGACTGTCAAGATCAGGGAACAAAGACAGACTGAGAAGCTGTCACAGACCAGAGACAGGTAAGGGGACGTGAAAACTAAATATAATGCGGTATCCTGATGAGAATTTGGAAATGAAAAAAATATATATACTAGAGGAGAAACCAAAGAAAACTGAATGAAGTGGGGAATTTAGTGAGTAGTAATGTGCCAGCATCAGTTTCTTTCTTTTAACAAATGAACCCTGGTTATTTAACAAGAGAGAGAACTGGGAAGGGGGTGTAAGTGAGCTCTCTATAACCTTTACACAAATTTTCTGGGAATCTAAACTCTTCTAAAAGATGTGTTTGAAAAGAAACTCTTGGTTGTTCAATTTAAGATCTGAGCAAAGAGAAACCCAGAGACGTGACCTGATGTCAGACAGGTGCATTAGCAGATGACCTAGGAATGGCATCCTGCTGAGAATCCTGACCAACAGAGGCAAAAACAACTTAGGCATTTATTTTTCTCACCTATGAAATATGAGGTAGTGGCTAACGTGAAGGTTCTGCAGCTCCAAGATGCCACCAGGTGCAGCCTCTCATTCAGTTTCCTCCTGATGTCCTCAGTGTATGTGGACTGCCCAGATGTCACTGTGTGGCTTATGTTTCACTAGGCTCCATAGTCCAGTTCAGGATGGGCAGCACCGGTCCCCACCAGAGTCCACAGACCTTAGCCATTCTGTGATCTTCCCAGAATGCCCTGCAGCCACTTCTGCTCCTATTTCATTGGCTAGGATTGGTCATGTGACCCACAGAGGAGACACAAGGGGGGGTGGGTTATAATGTGTTTCTATTTTATTGGCTAGAGCATGTCACATGACTACTGCAGAGGGGGTGGGCTATGCAGTGTGTTTAAGGAAGGGAAATTACTGTCCTCAGTTCAATAGAGGTTCTACCAGAAAGTAGAGGAAGATAAGTGTCAATGGGCAACCTGCAGTCCCTTCCTCAGTGTTTTCTGTATCATTTTCATATTTTCATTAACTCACTGGCTCTGCACAGTGGCATATTTGCTGTTGTAAGCAGGCAGTGAAAGGCTGAACCCAGGACCCACAGCAACGTGTTTGCTGAGCCATACTCACATGCCACCTGGCCCAGGGCACTTAGCAGCTCCCTCAAATCTGTACTACTGTTCTTCATATCTTCCTCTCTTTTCTCTGTCCTAAGTCTGTCTATTCAGGTTAGCATACCAGCTCAGATGAGCTCATTCCTGCAGTGAGCACATTTCTGCAGCGCTCAGAGGAGCGGGTGGTGGTCTGCTAGCTGTGCTTCTGACACCGCTTTAAAGCTGAACTCCACTTTAAGGAAACTACTATTGAATGTGCTGCACTCCTGCACATTAGTGGGGAGGTGCTTTTGAAGTAATCTTTGTGGAGGACACTTGAGCAGCATCCATCACAATTAGAAACGCATCTATGTTTTGACCCAGCAATTTTACTTCTTTTAGAAGTTGATGATTCTGAAAATCTCAGGGATATGCATTTATGCAAGGAAGATCTCTAGAGCAGTATTTATACTGGCAAAAAATAAAAAACAAAAAGAACACATGCGAGACAACCTAAATGTCCAACCACAAGAGATTGATTAAATAAATAACGGTGCACCCAGACTGCTGAATACTAAGCAGCCATTAAAAAGATTGAGTTTGGGTTCTGTGCCCTAGGATAGGAGGATCTCCATGACATATTTTTGAACAGGGAAAACAAGTTTGGAAAATACGAACAGCCTGATGCAAAAGTATTCTATCCATCTTGGTTTGTGCAGAGATAAATATCTGGAAGGATACACACCTTTGTTGGGAGACCCTTGGGGAAATTCATCATGGGTCAGGGATTCATATGTATCTATTCAAAGCCATTTGTACATTGGGTCCCATACTTTCTTGCCTGCTCAAGAATATCACCCTAGGAATCTTCATTTCCTTTCTGCATTAACATAGTCTTGCTCTCCATGGGGTCACTTGTGTCAATGTGCAAGCATACCGCTATTTATCTCCAGAGCCAGAAAGAATAAAACATAAAAATAAAATAAAATCCTCTCCTGCTGCAGATACAGGGCTGTACTTCACCTTCGCAGTCAAAGCCCTTGAAAGCAATGCCTTCCTCACCATCTCCTACTTCTCCACTTCTGTCTCATACCACTCGTACTGCGATTTCACCCTCATATCTCCCTCCCACACTGCTCTTGAGAAGGTGACCAGTAACTTCTATGTCATATTCAGTGATCAGTCCCAGGCGTCATCTTACTCAACCCATCACTCTTCCTTCTTGAAACTCTCTGTGCTGTGCTCCCTGGACTCTACCTGCTCCTGGTTTTCCTCCTGGTTTCTCCTTTCCTACCAGTTTCCTGGTAGCTCCGCCCCTTTTCCTTTGCTGGGTCTTCCTTGACTTCTCCACCTTTAAATCTTGTGCTGTCCCTGTGCCCTGCCTTTGGTCCTCTCCTCCAGTCTCTCCTTATTCTTTGGAGGGCTTCACAGACTTATGGCCTTGGCAAGCTATTCACATGCTGATGATCCCAAATTTATATCAGGGCTTGTCCTGCACCTCAGGCAAATGCCACATCCTCACCTGGTTGTTCAACAGGCATCCCAAATTCACATGTTCCAGCTGAACTCCATTCTCTACTTGCCTTAGAACAGCCTCAAAGTAAAAAAGAAAATATATTATTCTATGACAGACCCCATGAAAATGATTAAAAGGCAAGCTCCTTGTCGGGAGAAAATAATTACAAAGCGCATAGCTGACAAAGTATTTGTATCTTGACTTTGTAGAGAATTCTCAAAACTCAATAGTGAAATACAATCCAGCTGAAAAATGGTCAGAAGACAATGGGAGACTGGACATACCACTGGACAATGGCCAGGCCATATGGAAAAGTGGAATTTTAGTCTGCAGTCTGTAGCAATTGTCCCAGAAAACCTACAGGAAGCCACCCAAGATGACACACTTTCAGGTAGTCAAATTGCTACATCCAGTGACAATCCAGGGGTTAACCAGTAACTCCTGTTGCATTCTGCCTCCAAAGACTGGGAATTAACTAGGAACTGACAGATTTCCCAAGTTTTGTTCTCACCTCATTTTATTTTTATTTTTTTGGTTTGTTTTTTGTTTTGTGTTTTTTTTTCCGGTACTGGGAATCGAACTCACGACCTCGTGCTTGCCAGGCAGGCGCTGTGCCGCTGAGCTAAATCCCCAGCCCCTCTCACCTCATTTTAGACCAACTAGAGAAAGGCACATGTGCTCCGCTGACCCATCACAGAGGAAGCTCAGCCTCTAGTTACCTTCAGCTTCCCCAAGCCAGAAACCTCCTCTCAGGGCACATCTGAAGCCCTGGGTTTTTTTCCTGCCATAAGTTTCTTATTCCTTGGCCTGACCTTGAGTCTTTGCCAACATGCAAGTGTTGGTGGCGGCTTTCCTTGCTGTAGCAAGCTTAGTGTAGCAAATAGCCTTTTGTTATCCTCACTTGGTTGGTTTCTGTTTATTGCTACAACAAAAGGGACACTTCACTAATGAGGGTGTACAGATGGAGGATCAGCACATGAAAAGGTGCTGAACATCACTAGCCATTAGAGAAAGCCCACAGTGAGATACCACTACACACCTACTAGAAGACTAAAATTAAAATATAATAATATACCAAATGCTGGTGCAGATGTGCAGATGTGCAGATGTGCAGAAACAGATCATCTACACATTATAGGTGGGAATGTGGGAGGATACAGCTGCATTGGGTGAGAGTCTGGTAGTTTCTCATGAAAGCGCACTGATCAGCACATATCCTAGGTCATGGACGTTCCTGCTGAAGCATCAGTTCTCTAATATGCACTGTTGCCCGAGAAACTATCTAACACAAGATTTTTCTTTGTAAGACACAGTCAGCCCTCTTGTGCTTAGGGATAATGGGCAGCCCTTCAGTACTATTTTATTTTTCTGTGCTAAGGATTGAATCCAGGGCCTTTGTATTGAGCTACATCCCAGTTCCTTTTTAAAAAGACTTTTGTTTTGAGACAGGGTCTTGCTAAGTTGCTATATTGCCCAGGCTGGGCTCAAACTTGCAGTCTTCCTGCTTCAGCCTCCCAGAGTGCTGGGATTACAGGAAGATGCCTGTATATCCACCATATCTAGCTTGTTTGAAGCTCTTTTTATGTGGCAGAATCTCCAAACAGTATAAAAATGCAAAACTGTAGCATTACATTGGATATAAAAATGACCCCATTTACAGTATGAGATTGGAAGCAAGAAGAGCCAATCTTGTTTTGTTTGACCTCAGCTGGGCGTCTGGCACTGGCTTGTTCACTGCTTTGCGGGTGTTGTCAGTATGGAGTTTGGGGTTACAAATCAATTTTAACAGGCAACCAAATTTTTAAATATAGAAATCAAATATAGACTATAGATATAAACTCATTACATGCATGTATCGTATATAAGTAAAGGGACATGTTTATAATGTATACAAGTACATGTCCCTTTACATACACAAACACACACACACATACACACTTGTATCTATATAGAGAGGTATATATTTACATATTTTTCTGTAAAAACAGAGACAGGGACTGAGACAAGGGGCCAGGACCATGGGGTAAGGGCTGGCTACAGATGAGATGTACGCTGCACTTCACTGAAGGATTTGCCCGTGGCTTCCTCAAAGCACTGCGCTCTCCAGGGACCTTCAGAACAGGGCTTAGACTTCCTAACAGTAGTTTCTTCCCTTGCTCTGCCACAACCTTGAGAGTGCAGGCAATGTCTGCTTTGAGCGCTGTCTAATCCCAGCGGAAGGTTTGCAGGCTCCCACGTGGAGAGGGAAATGCTGTGCTTGGGGCTGTGAGGACAAGAGTGTGGAGGGAAGAAGCGCTGCTCAGGACCCATGGCCAAGGCATGCTAGCAGCACCCTCCTGGCTTTCCTCAGATCTGCCCAGCTCAGATTCAAGGGGTCCCTCTGGCCTCATGGGACATCCAGAGAGGCCCAGCTTCAAGCAGGAGAAGCAGAATGGAGAACACCCTCGTGCATCACGCATTACAGTGCATTGCCTATGAAAGGGCATTGTAAGATGCCCTTTAAGGTTGTTTCTTGACAAAGTGTCTCTGAAACTGATATGAAAGGGATTCAGAAAGCTTGAGAGGGTGAGCCCTGGTTATGCCCAGAGCAGACAGATGAGGATGAGTGGGACGTTTGCAGACGCTAAGTCCCCTCCAGCCAGCATGGATCCCTCCACCACCAGGGTCACCTTCTCCACTTGCAGTCTGCTAGATGTTAACTAGGCAGAAAGAGACACGTGCTCTTGGCAGAGGGGACAACGCATGCAAGGCCCTGAGGTGAGAAAGAGCAAGGCCAATTCCAGGATCTTCAGGAAGGCTCTCATGATAGGGGTAGAAGGATGTTCAGACAGCGTGGCAGTTGAGGCTGGAGACAGGAGGGGTCAGACTAGGTGGAAGTTGTGTTCTCGTCCTCAAGGTAACAGGAAGTGGGACAGGGTCAGGCAGGCCCTGCTTAGGGGTTCCAGCACCACGTAGGCCCCTGAAGCCAGCACCCTGCTTGCACAGGCTCACCTGTTCCTGCTTGTTCCTCTCGCAGCAGGTGTAGAGCTCCTGGGGGACCCAGTCACGGCTTAGGAAGTGTTAAATAAATAGGATTGGTGCCTGAATGAGTCCATGAGCGAGTGACTGACAGAAGACAAC